TTAACCACTTAGAAAGTAACGACAACTTTATCTACAGTGCAAGACACAAAGTTGTTAAACATATTTTAACCACTTAGAACGTAACGACAACTTTATCTACAGTGCAAGACACAAAGTTGTTAAACATATTTTAACCACTTAGACAGTAACGACAACTTTATCTACAGTGCAAGACACAAAGTTGTTAAACATATTTTAACCACTTAGAAAGTAACGACAACTTTATCTGCAGTGCAAGACACAAAGTTGTTAAACATATTTTAACAACTTAGAAAGTAACGACAACTTTATCTACAGTGTAAGACACAAAGTTGTTAAACATATTTTAACCACTTAGAAGACAGCGATTATTTTATATGCAATTGTGATCGCTATAGTGCTACAACAAGCTAAAATGTTAATTTGAAAAAGTTTCAAAATTTTAAGAAAAGACTATAAATTGAACCGAGCAACGGCAACGTATTTTTCTAATATATTCTTTCTTGCTTGAACAGAGTTGTTTAAATATTTGTTTAACAACAAGTAAAAGCTTGGAATGGGCTATTCTTTCATTGGGGGTGTGTCTGTGGATCAGACTAGTTTCTGGACACTACCACCAATGAAAATCAGACCAAACCAATCCTTAATAGTAGTGAGGTATCGAAATCGAAATAGTGTTTTTAAGTGTTTTACAATCACAAAAAAGAAACCTATCATTCTATAGGTATTTGAAGAACTTGTAGCATTTCGCCACATTTTAATTCTTCGTATTGTTAGCCGACACTGGGCAGCTTGTACATAATTGAATAGTTGTTTAAAAAAAATTTTAACAACAAGTAAAAGCTTTCTTTCTACATCTACAACCCCGGGTAAAAATGTAGTATTCTTTCTCGTGCATTTGGTGACTCAGAACTGATTGACATGTGCACAAACTTTAAATTAAATTATCAGACGCCTACTTGTTTTGGAAATCGAGGCAGAAATTAGAAAGATCCTTGTAGGAAGGACTCGTGATACCGTGTAAATGTTTAATAGCTTCCTTTTTAAACTTGAAATAAAATTATACAACAACCTTACAAAATAAAGGAGAAATTAATCAGAAAAGTTTCTTTTCTTTTTTTACCTTTTCTTATTTCGCCAAATAATAAACAGCAGCTTAAAAAGAAAACTACTTTATTGGGTGATTTAAATATTGTACAACCAATAAGCACATAAGATCAAAACAACGAAGCAAATGTTTCTGTAGCCTGCTGTCTATGTTAGGGTTAAGAATTCTTCTTGTGGTCTTCGTATTAAGACTTCTCGATGTTTAGATAAACACGATTTTGGTGTTATGAATTCTAGGAGGTAGACAAATAAAATATTGGTGTTAAGAACGCTCCATGTTTAGATAAATACGATCGTCATATTAAGATTTCTCGAAGTTTAGACAAACACAATTTTGGTGTTATGAATTCTGGTAGGTAGACAAATAAAATATTGGTGTTAAGAACGCTCCATGTTTAGATAAATACGATCGTCATATTAAGATTTCTCGAAGTTTAGACAAACACGATTTTGGTGTTATGAATTTTTGATATAATAATCTTGGTGTTAACAATGCTCGATGTTTGTGTTGACAAACATTTAAAATCAAACGAGATTCCCCATACTAGTTCTTTTAGGTAATTGATAGGAAAATATCAGACACGATACTAACGTTCATTTGGTTTGTAAGTAAGCACCTGATTATTAAAACACTAGATACTAACGTTCATCAGTTTGTAAGTAAGCACCTGATTATTAAAACACTAGATACTAACGTTCATCAGTTTGTAAGTAAGCACCTGATTATTAAAACACTATTCCTTTACATTGCACTTTTTTGAATAAAAAAACAACAACACCAAAAAACAAAGCGTTCAAATATGATTATATTAGAGAATAAAGTTGGTTCCCTGTGTCTGCATCTAATATACAAGATTCAGTCTCCTTGGAAATAAGTTCTAAACCAAATGATATTAAAAAAACAACTATGTACTTGAACGTTCAAGTTTTCGTTAAATCCATTGTTACGCATACAATGTAAAACTCTCAATTTTAACCCTCGTACAAGTCGATGTTTCAACTGAGCTGGACCAGAAGGTGTTTCGTACGTTGCAGTCGTACCGATAGACCAGCGTTTCACCAAGCTATGTTACTGGTTCGGCTCATGTAAGGCCCATGTTTGGTGTTTCACACCTTTTGTTCTACTAACATCGAAGAGAAGAAAAAAAAACCAACACTACTTGCACGTGTGCAGATCCACGACCTTGGTACACGTTTTACACTTCACGTAACAGCACCAATGAAACTTACATCCACACCTCTCTTTGAACACGGCCTTATGAGTGTTATACCCTCGACCACAACACATGAGGTTACAGCCGTCGGTGCCCGGAGCTGTACGATTACACTCACGCCCGTAAGTACCCAAAGAACCCGTAGTTCGATTCCTGATACAGTAATCAGGAGACTCCTCCAGGTAGACGAGGTCCTCCGCCGTGGGCATGTTGAACTGATGGTTTTTCACCTGCAGCTTTCCCCGCCTGTTTATCTTCACCTCTGTGGCACCGTCGTACTTGTCCTTTAGATGGTCCCCCACCTCGCGGAAACTTGCCAGTTGTTGCCAGCACGTGATAAGGGAACAGGAACCGGAAACACCGTGGCATTTGCACGTGACTCTTGTTTTACGGATGACAGCCTGCAAAAATACATTAAGAATTAACACTCTTTTCTGCTATATTAGTTAACTATGATTTAATGCTCAGATGAACACTATTAGAAATTTAGTGTTAAAACTTAATATCAACAGAAAGAAAATACTGAAACAAATATAGTTTTAAAACTTAATAACAACAGAAAACACTGTCAGAAGTACAGTATTAAGATGTAACAATGTGCTAGTAAACAACGTAACCACAAGTCCAGCGTTAAGACGTAACAGAGTGTTTGTAAACAACGTAACAACAAGTCCAGTGTTAAGATGTAACAATGTGCTAGTAAACAACGTAACCACAAGTACAGTGTTAAGATGTAACAAAGTTCTAGTAAACAACGTAACCACATGTCCAGCGTTAAGAGGTAACAGAGTGTTATTAAACAACGTAACAACAAGTCCAGAGTTAACACGTAACAAAGTGTGAGCAAACAACGTAACAACATGTCCAGCGTTAAGACGTAACAAGGTGTTAGCAAACAACGTAACAACATGTCCAGCGTTAAGACGTAACAGAGTGTTCGTAAACAACGTAACAACAAATCCAGCGTTAACACGTAACACAATGTTAGTAAACAACGTAACCACAAGTCCAGCGTTAAGACGTAACAAAGTGTTAGTAAACAACGTAACCACAAGTCAAGCGTTTGTTATTACTTCTTCTGTCATCATTCCAGGTTAACCTCCTTAATAAACAACGTAACCACAAGTCAAGGGTTTATTATTACTTCTACTGTCATCATTCCAGGTTAACCTCCTTAATAAACAACGTAACCACAAGTCAAGGGTTTATTATTACTTCTACTGTCATCATTCCAGGTTAACCTCCTTAATAAACAACGTAACCACAAGTCA